ACACACACACACATACACACTTACGCACACACATACCAACACGCACGACTGGAGTCACAAGCACACGCACACACTCACACACACACAACACACACTACACATCACACACGACAGCACACACACACACACACACACACAGCACATACACACACAGCCGCACACACACAGAACCACAGGTTATTCCTAACACACACACACCACACCACAACACACAGGTTACACACACCAGACACAACCACACACACACACATCATATATATATATATATATATATAATATATATATATTATATTATATAAGATAGAGAGAAAAGAAAGAGAGAGAGAGAAATAGAACGCTTGTGTCTTCGAGAGTCTCTTCATCATGCTATACAAATGACAACATATATTATATATAATATTATATTAAAATAATATAGTATATAAGTATAAGGCTATTGAGTTATGGATGTAGTTATTAATTACATTGATTAGAGAACTATAGAGCGGCGCTGCCCTATGTATAGCTGCAAGACGTTCAACCGTGAGAGTCAACACAACACAACGTATTCATTCGGTCGTGGCCGGGATCCCCATATCATACTACACTGCGCCAAGGTATTCCTGTGTGTGGTGTGGTGAGTGTTGGTGTGTGTGTGTGTGTGGTGTGTGTGTTGTGTGTGTGTGGTGTTGTGTCGTGTCTTGACGTGCGCTTCGTGCGTGTGTGTGTGGTGTTTGCTGTGTGTGTGTGTGTGTGCGTGGTGTGGTGTGTGCTGTGTGTGGTGTGTGTCTGGTGTGTGTGTGGTGTGCATGCGTGCGTGCGTGCGTGTCTTTGTGTGTGTGCGTGTGTTTTCTTTGTCGGCTTGCGCGTGTTTCCTGGTGTGTGCGACGCGTGTGTCGTGCGCGCGCGGTGTTTCTGTGTGTGCTGGGCGTGCGTGCGCTGGTGTGTGTGTGTGCGTGTGTGTGTGTGTGTGTTGTGCGGTGTGTGCGCGTGTGTGTGGCGTGTGTGTGTGTGTGTGTGTGTGTGGTGTGTGTGTGTGATGTGGTGTGTGTGTGTTGTGTGCTGTGTGTGTGCACGCGTGTGGTCTGGCGCGCGTGTTTTCTGTGTGTGCTGTGCTGTGATGTGTGTGTGTTGTGTGTGTTGTGTGTGTGTGTGTGTGTGTGTGGTGTGTTTCTGTGTGTGCACGCGTGTGGTCGTGCGCGCGTGTTTCTGTGTGTGCATGCGTGTGCGCGCGTGTAACCCGCACCTGATAGGTATAATATTGGTTCGTTACGCTGTGCCACTCGTGATCGATCTATGTCGCCGTCAACTTCAAAAGAGATCACGCCAGAGCAGCAGCTAGTGACATTTCGAACTCTTTTACTATGTTCCGATGTCTATCTACCACCTACAGAGAACATTGTAAGAGCTCGAGATAGTGAATAGCGTTGCGGCCAATGCACCGAACATAAACTTTAAATCGCTGCCTAACTGTCTGTTTCTTATATAATTAAAAATTAATGACCAAAATTAAGATATTAAAAAAATATATCTCAGATTTAACAGACGATTAGTAGAGTGGCGTGTACATGATAGCTATGTTTTAAACTCGGGCGAAGCAGCGACTGATGCTGTCTGCATGCGTGTGTACACATTGACAGGTCTGCATGCGTGTGTACACATTGACAGGTTCTGCATGCGTGTGTAACACATTGAACAGGGTCTGCCTGCGTCGGTACACATTGACAGTCTGCATGCCGTGTGTACACTATTGACCAGTCCCTGCAGCCGTGTGTACACATTGGACAAGGTCTGCATGCGGTGTACACATTGATAGTCCTGCATTCGTGTGTTACACATTGCCAGGTCTGCCATGGCGTGGGTAATCGATTGGACAAGGCGTGTCGCAGGACGATGTTCCTCAGCGCTTGAACCGCCCAGTCGTGCGGATGCGACAATCCCAAAACCGCTGTCATCCTGCCGCCGTTGGGCATCCACCGACGAGCTGGCGAAGCGTACCGTGCTGCCCTAGAGGGCGAGCGTCAAATACGAGCAGGAGATCCGGCAGGTAAAGAGTCCAAGAGATAGAATCCCAACACTTCCTCTCTGCACTTCACTTCCTATTACTTCCACTTCAATCACTTCACTTAACTTAAACCTTGTCACTTCTCTTCGGTCGGCTTGTCCGCTAGCAGGCGGAGATTATTTTCCATGCCGAATGTATGACAAATTAATCACACGTCACACTAATTAATAATAAATTTATTAATTTAATTTATTTTTTATTTAATTAATTTTTACAAATCTCCGACACTGAAATTGAGTAAGTGTCGTGGTCTATTCAAAAACGAAGGTCCATTTACAACTGTCCGAGTTTTTAAATACTAACTTAAAATTTTAAAATTAATTCAATTTCATTAATTAAAGCCGATCCGTTATTTATCAATTGGTTTTTTTTACACATGACCCACACACGCTACGCACGCACGCGCACACCGCCCACAATACACACACCGACAACGTTCCGCAACGCCACGCACGTACGGGACACGACGACCGCAGTATTCAATGGCGTATATACACGCTCGTAATGCATAACGAAGCATAAGCACTTTAGGCAATCAAAGCCGTGTCATAAGAAATCGACTGATGTCTTGTGTTTGTCGTGCGGAAGAAGCGAAGCAGGAGTGTGCGATGGAGAAGAATAGAGATAAAACTCTAGCTCACGGAACTCTCTGCAGCTGCGTTTGTCCCCGTAATTGCACAGTAAGTATTGCAGGCCATAGTATGTTAAATTTGAACTTAAAACTGAATTCCGTTTACGACATATGAAATTGAGATTTTGTTATCGTGAAGAATGAACGAACTAATTCTACAATTGCTATTATGCCTATAATTCTGCATATAAGATTTCACGAATGAATGAACTAAATTCTACAATTGACTATTATACATTCTACAATAAGATCTACTAATTGAATTAACTTAATTCTAGACAATTACTATTATAATTCTACAATAAGATTCTCCATAAACGATCAGAAAGCATGCGTGAAGTTTTATCCGGCCGCTCTATATACTCTCTTTTCCCTTCTCGATCTACTCGGATATTCAGCCTATCGAGTATCCGCTGTCCTTTCTTTTTCAGTTTTCGTTGCGGCCTTACATTTCGTGTTTTCTAGCGCTGCTAATGTCACCGTTTCACAAGCATTCACACGCCCAATGCCCCGAGACCTGCGGCAGTTCACAGCGCATATGCGTGTGACAATAGATCTTTTTTTATTAATTGTTACATTTCTAGGATGATCCGCGTGAATCGTAATTTCGCGAGAAACGTCATTATCGCTATCCCAGCATGTGCCGTAACTGATACGTCATTTGCCGCCAGCGGTACGACGCGATCTCGTCCATTTTATTAGCTTAGCAGATAAAGTAAAACGCCAGGGTTTAGCAAAGTATAATAATGGCAGAAGGTAAGTGCTGTACCTGCAACATTAGTACTAAACATGATACAGCAGCGTCCACCGAGGGTCTGGTGTCACCATAAGACATAGTCACTTATGATGATGATTACCTAGCACGGCGTGCGGAATTAATCATATAATAATGCCTCAATGCATGCAGATTGCAATGCATGGTATCTTGGAATGGTATCACCGCCCATGGACCTCCTGTAGGCCTGGTAGCCTCTCTAGTCCTGAGCTCCTATACCAGTAGGCAGTACGGGCGCAATTCCACCTCTGTGCGCACTCTGTGCATGCACCTAGGCTCGTGATACCTAAGGTGCTAAAGTGTTTTCGCGCAGCCGCCCCTACTACATGTACTGTACAGTAGGCTGGCCACTATAGTATATAGAATAGCTGGACGAACACTACCATACTAACTAATACTAGTATTAACTAATATAATAGAGGACGGTCTGATCTTTAGTAATAGTATTAGTAATTATTTTTTTTGTATTAATGTTGCGTATCTGATTAAGAATCGTAATTCCCACATATCACTGAATTTAATTGCAAATATTAGTCGACATATAAAACAACTAGCAAAATTAAAAATTAAAATTACGCACCGTCGTACCGCAGATGTACAGCCTTATAGTTAATAAGTAACATAATACATAGTCAGAGAGCTAGTGGCTTGAGTCACCCCGGGGGGGGGCACTCGCCTGCGGAACTGACCAACTGGGTGCCTCAGGACTTTGAAACTGCACCCGTCACTAACGGCTTTTCGCCCTAAACACCTGTCCCCCATATATCTGCATTAAAAAGTATACCCTGGTCAATTTGCACACTTCGGTTATGTCCTGTCCTCTCTGTCAACATAGCAGATATTGATCCAATATTGTTTTGCCAAGTAGTGGCTGATCATATTGTTGGGCCCAATATCAGCTTGATGTGGTACCCCAGAAGACCGCTGTAATAAATGATTAAGACTGTACCCTCGCATTAAGCCACACTCACGATATGGTGGTGAAACGCCACTGCTGACCAAATAACCCCTGTGCAATAATGATGTTTCGGGAAAATATACCTTGTCCATGCAGTCATTCATGCACTACCTTCACAATGGATGTGCCCCTCCGGGAAGAGTGACGGCAACCGTAATTCGCGAAGCCTTTTATTTGGCGTTTGTTGATTGAGGGCTGAGGTCAATTGTTCACGATCTTCTAATGTAAAGTTTACAATAATGTTCGTTTTCATACCTAATCCGAGTGTTTTCTAGCTCACCGTAAATCGTGAATTTATTTCCAATGGCATTTCGAAGTCTGGATTAGCCGCCGCCATCTTTGTCTCGTTTGTGGGAAAGCAAATGGACTGCCGTATACCTGCAGCCTCGTAAATTAGAGAGACGGTTGTCAAACCTCCACCCACTGCCTATTTATATTTACATAGTTTCACATGATTAAAATGAAAATTTGGTAAGAAAACAATAGAATTATATATTAGAAGAGAAAACCTTTAGGAACTACATCAAAACTGTTTATTTTAACATTAAGCTAAAAGAGTTATTTTGGTGTCACCCCCTGTGATGGTGTCACCCGGTGCATTCCGCGCACCCCTTGTGACGCCACTGAGGGTATATAACATAACATAGTTATATAACATACACATTTAATATGTATATGTGCATTACTATAGTAGGTTACATTCGATGTTTGACTTCTTGACATCCCTACAAATTGTGGCTTAAAATTTTAATTAATCACTGCATGTTTTACTCTGTATGTTTTGAACAACACGACCACCACAGCGATCATCACTGAAAACTGCATTCAATCCTGGACAGACAAAGATTTTGGAGGAGGCTTATAGCAATGGCATGATTGCAAAAAACACTGCGTGTGCTGCAAAAATTTGCAGAGCGGGGCAGGAGACAGGACTGTCTGTTAAAGTTGTTGAGGTAAAATGCAAGTTTTTTCTTCTAAGAAACCATGTTGTTGGTGTTAATTCCCAATAACATGCATATATTGGAACTCGATCCTTAAATTTGTTCTGTAAACTGCACAGGCGCACTTGCAGCAATTTAGCCTACAGTCATGCCACATGCACGCCGCTGCCCATTTACACTATATATATAAGTTAATTCTCAGATGTGTCTTTTACCACTGTTAACATTTCAAACATGCTTGCTGTATTATGGTGATATATTTATGTAGCATTAAGCATCATGCACACCCGTTGAAACATATTTGTGTGTAAAATCATTATGATTATTCTTGTTATTTGTATATAAACTTAATTTCAGAATTGGATTGGAAATAAGAAGCGAGCTCTTTCGGGGAAGCTATATCCCCGCCCACACAAAGTCGCCACTGCGCACCAGAGTGGGTTCAACTTGTTCTGCAAAGGCAGTAAATACAGTAAGCTTTCAGGATATGTATTTTCTGAACATGTGCTTATAAATAATTATGTGTAGATAGGAGGCCCAATACAAGTATGAGCTGTGTGGCCTGCCGGATTCTTATGCTCGCAAATAAATCCAATGAAAGCCAGTAGTTTTTAGGGTTTAATTGCTATGTAGTATTATATAGAGCAGCGACTTAGAACTAGCAGCAATTTATAACTATAGGCTATAGCAGTATATGAGATCAGATAGAACAATGTAATGTAGTCATCATATATTTCGAAGAACAATCATCTATAGATATGTTACGAAAGGAAGGCTATATGTAGTGATATGGCCTCTAGTGTTCAGGTTAAAGATGCACTCCCACAAAATATGTATCAGCGTGAATCGTAATTCGAGAGAAACGTCATTATCGCTTATCCCAGCATGCCGTACTGAGACGTCATTTCCGCCACGACGACCACTCGGCCATTTATTAGCAGAAGAAAAGTAAACCAGTTTAGCAAAGATGAATATGCAGAAGGTAAGGGCTGTTACCCAACATTAGTACTACATGATACAGCAGCGTCACCAGGGTTGGTGTCACCATAGACATAGTCTCTTATGATGATATACCTAGTCACCCGGTGCAGTTAATCTTAATTAATGCCTCATGCATGCATGATTGCATGCATGGTATCACCCCCATCATGCCCATGGACCTCCTGTAGGCTGTAGCCTCCTAGTCCTACTCCTACTTCTAGTACCAGTAGGCAGTAGGCAGTACTGGGCGCAAATCCACCTCTGTGCGCACTCTGTGCATCACCTAGCTCGTGATACCTAAGGTGCCTAAAGTGGTTTTGCGCGCCCACTACTACTGTACTCAGTACTGCCACTATATATAGATAGTGACGACACTAATACTAACTAATACTAATACTAATAGTAATACCAGGCGGTAGGCCCTACTCGGCTACTGAATCTTTAGTAATAGTACTATTAGTACTATTACTATTAGTAATATTTTTTGTATTAATGTTATCGTATTCTGATTTAAAATCGTAATTCCCGCATATCACTGAATTTAATGGCAATATTAGTGACATATAAACAACTAGCAAAATTAAAAATTAAAATTACGCACCGTCGTACGCAATGTACAGTTATGAGTATATATATATACAATAATACATAGTCATGATAGTGGCTTGAGGTACCCCCGGGGGGGGCACTGGCCTCGGAACTGCCAACTGGGTGCCTCAGGGACTTTGAAACCTGACCCTGTCACTAACGGCTTTTCGCCATAAAATACACCCTGTCCCAATATACTGCATTAAAAAGTATACCCTGTTGCAATATTGCACACTTCGGTTATGTCCAGTTCCTCCTGTCAACATAGGCAGATATTGATCCAATATTGTTTTGCCAATATTGGGCTGATATATATTGTGACATGGAAGTTTGGGCATAGCCTCCAAAGAAGGGCAGGTCTTTGGTGTGTACAATCACTATGTCAAGTTTGTGTGAGTAACCTCTTAAACTAATGAGGTTGTAAAGGCAAGATATGTTAATATTCTCTGTCATACTCATACTAAGAAAATATGATGAGTACTGCCAACAAGGAGTACTCATAGGGATCTTGCCGATACTCATACATGAAAAAATGGTGAGTAAATACTCATCAACGCCAAAAATTATCTGGAGCACTGTGTCATACAAATAGGCCTATCAGCAAGTTAATTATGCACAACCTTAACATAATTTTATGTATTGTGATACATATTTTGTGGGAGTGCATCTTTAACCTGAACACGTAAGGCCCATATCATCTACATCATAGCCTTCCTTTCGTACATACTATAGAATGATTTTCTTTCGAATATATGATGACTACATACATTGGTCTATCTGATCTCATATACTGCTATAGCCTATAGTTATAAATTGCTGCTAGTTCTAAGTCGCTGCTGCTATATAATAACTACAAGCAATTAAACCTAAAAACTACTGGCTTTCATTGATTTATTTGCGAGCATAAGAATCCGGCAGGCCACACAGCTCATACTTGTATTGGCCCCTATCTCACATAAATATTTATAAGCACATGTTCAGAAAATACATATCCTGAAAGCTTACTGTATTTACTGCCTTGCAGAAACAAGTTGAACCCACTCTGGTGCGCAGTGGCGAACTTGTGTGGCGCGGGATATAGCTTCCCCGAAAGAGCTCGCTTCTTATTTCCAATCCAATTCTGAAATTAAGTTTATATACAAATAACAAGAATAATCATAATGATTTACACACAAATATGTTTCAACGGTGTCGCATGAATGCTTAATGGCTACATAAATATAATCACCATAATACAGCAAGCATGTGTTGAAATGTTAACAGTGGTAAAAGACACATCTGAGAATTAACTTATATATATATGGTAAATGGCAGCGGCGTGCATGTGGCATGACTGTAGGCTAAATTGCTGCAAGTGCGCCTGTGGCAGTTTACAGAAACAATTAAGGATCGAGTTCCAATATATGCATGTTATTGGGAATTAACACCGCAACAACATGGTTTCTTAGAAGAAAAACTTGCATTTTACCTCAACAACTTTAACAGACAGTCCTGTCTCCTGCCGCCCGCTCTGCAAATTTTTGTGCAGCACACGCAGTGTTTTTGGCAATCATGCCATTGCTATAAGCCTCCTCCAAAATCTTTGTCTGTCCAGGATTGAAGGCAGTTTTCAGTGATGATGCTGTGGTGGTCGTGTTGTTCAAACATACAGAGTAAAACATGCAGTAGATTAATTAAAATTTTAAGCCACAATTTGTTGGATGTCAAGAAGTAAACATCGAATGTAACCTACTATAGTAATGCACATATACATATTAAATGTGTATGTTATAACTATGTTATGTTATAGTACCCTCAGTGGTGTACAAGGGGTGCGCGGAATGCACACGGGTGACACCATCACAGGGGGTGACACCAAAATAACTCTTTTAGCTTAATGTAAATAAACAGTCTTTTGATGTATTTCCTAAAGGTTTTCTCTTCTAATATATAATTTATTGTTTTCTTACCAAATTTTCATTTTAACCATGTGAAACTATGTAAATATAAATAGGCAGTGGGTGGAGGTTTGACAACCGTCTCTCTAATTTACGAGGCTGCAGGTTAACGGCAGTCCATTTGCTTTCCCACAAACGAGACAAAGATGGCGGCGGCTAATCCAGACTTCGAAATGCCATTGGAAATAAATTCACGAATTTAGTTGTGAGCTAGAAAACACTCGGATTAGGTATGAAAACGAACATTATTGTAAACTTTACATTAGAAGATCGTGAACAATTGCCCTCAGCCCTCAACTCAAACAAACGCCAAAAAAGGCTTCAGCGAATTACGGTTGCCGTACCTCTCCCGAGGGGGCACATCCATTGTTAAAGGTAGTGGCATGAAGACGTGCCACTGGACAAGGTATATTTCCGAACATCATTATTGGCACAGGGTTATTGGTCAGAGTAGCGTTTACACCCCATATCGTGAGTGTGGTTAATGCGAGGGTACAGTCTTAACATTTTACAGGCGGTCTTCTTGGGTACCCACCATCAAGCTGATATTGGCCCAATAAGCCTTATCGCCAATCGTTAAATTACCACAGATGGCGCCCCGCCGCAAAGCAATGATGGGGATGGAAAAAGGGGGAGCAACGATCGGCGCTCATAGATCAATATACGCACGGCTATGGTGATAGGAAAGGGTACTAACTATATATCTCGCAAACGAGTGAGTTACATGTCTAGAAATCTAGAGGAATATAGACACACTGTCTTAGCTATAAATCTCTGTTAAATCTTTGCAGTTTGTTGAAGCAAGCGACTAGTCGTAATTAACTACTAAATATATGCGAACGGTATCGCGCAATAAGCGCCTATTGGCGGCGCCGGCTATACCCGCGCTATGTCGAATAGGAAGAGTACTAACTATTAATATGTGGCAAACGAGTTGAGTAACGGATTTCAAATCATTAAGGGAATATAGAACCCTCCCCCGACATGCTCTTAGAGCTACTAATGCGTAAATTTTCAGCTTGTTGAGCACCGATTAGTCTAATTGAAGTTACCTCAAATATAATTGCGACGGTATCCGCGCATCCAGCCGCCCCGCTAATGCCGTGTCCCGCCGGCGCTATACGCACCCCCGGCCTTGGGTGATTAGAAAAATGCTACTCAACGTATTTATCTTCCACTAGGAGTTGAGCTTACATTTCTGGAAATCATAAGATATAGACAAATTGTCTTAAGCTATAATGTCTGTTAATTTTTTCAGCTTGTTGAACCGCACCGATTGTCTAATAATTAACCGAAATATACGCGAACGGTATCGCGCCATACGGCGCTCCATTGGCGTGCACTCCTGGCCGCGCTTATAACGGCACCGGCTTGGGTGATAGGAAAAAGGCATACTACACTATTATATCTTCCAAAAGGAGTTGAGCTTACATGTTAGAAATGCTAGAGGAATATAGACTCATGTCTTAGCTTAACCTCTGTAATTTAGTTTGTTGAAG